TCCCTCTCGCCCTCTCCCTCCCTCTCGCCCTCTCCCTCCCTCTCGCCTTACCCCTCCCACACCTTCTTGCCCTTTCCCTTCCTCTCCCTCGCCCTCTCGCTCACCCCCCTGCCTCTTGCCCTCCCCCTCCCTCAATCTGTCCCCCTCACCCTCCACAACCCCCTTGCCTTCCCTCTTCTTCTTGCCCTCCCCCTTGCCCTCTCATTTTCACCCTCGCCCTGTCGCCATTCCCACCCACCCCCATGGCCCAACCTTGCCCTCTCATCCATCCCCCCTCATCCTTCCCCTCCTTCACCCTCATGCTGTCCTCCCCACTCGCCCTCTCATTATCACCCTCCCCCCTCGCCCTGTCGCAATTGCTCCCCACCCCCGTGGCCCAACCTTGCCCTCTCATCCTTCCCCTCCTTCACCCTGATGCTCTCCTCCTCCCTTGCCCTCTCGCCATTGCACTCACCCATCCCTCCCTCCCTCTCGCCCAAGTCCCCCTCGCACGCCCCCTCCTTTCACCCTCCCATTCCCTCACCTTCTCATCATCGCCTTACCTCGCCCTCCCTCTCACCCTCGCCCGCCACCACAGTCTCGTCCTCCCACGCCCTCGCCCTCTCACCCTCCCTTTCACCCTACTCTCCCTCTCGCCCTCCGCCTCCCCTTCACCCTGCCCTGCCCATGCCTTCTCCCTCCCACTCACCATCGCCCTCATCCTCCACCTCCCTCTCGCCCTCCCTGTGCATCTCTCCCTCCCTCTCATCCTCTGCCTCTGTCACACTCCACCTCCCCCTCTCCCTCGCCCTGTCACCATTGCCCTCGCCCTCGCCCAACCTTGCCCTCTCATCTTCCCCCTATTTTACCCTCATGCTCTCGCCCACTTGCCATTGCCCTCCCCCTCCTCTCCCTCTCGCTGTATGCCTCCTCGCCCTCCCTCTCCATCACCCCGTCCCTTTCGCCCTCCCCCTCTCTCTCGCCCTCCCTCTCACCCACCCGCTCCTTCTCGCCCTCTGCCTTCCCCTCGCCCTATCCTCCCATTTCCCTCCCCCTCACCCTCGCCGTCCCATCTAGCCCTCTCCCTCACCCTCCGATTCCTTCTCTGACCCTCTCTCTCACACACTAGCCCTCGCCCTCCATTTCACCCTACCCTCCCTCTCACCCTACGCCTCCTTCTCATCCTACCCCATGCCCTCCCCCCGCCTTCTCCCCCCCCCCCCCCCATTCTCCCTCCCTCTCGCCCTCAACCCGCTCTCTCGGCCTCACCCAAACTTGCCCTCTC